GGTTCGGACTTCAATTGAGGAAACTTACCGATTGGATTAACATTACCCCAGTACGTTTCAAGTTGTGGATGGATAAGAGGATCTCCATATACCTCGGAAGTTGATGTGAGCGAGATCCTGTTCCACAAATCCCAACTGAGTAGAGCCGGTGAAGAAGGGAACATAAATGAATTGATAAAGAACCACATTCCCTAACCTTGCTCCAACTCGCTTGGCAAGTCCCAGTATGTTCAGTGTGCCAATGACATTTGTCTTTATTGTCTATGGAAATATAAAGTAAAAATTAAGCAAACGGTCACAAATATTCTAGAAAGCATTGCAGAAACACCAATACCCGACCTTCACAGGATTGTGTTTGTAGAAAATTGGAGAAGCTGGGCATGCAAGGTGGTAAATCTGATTAACCTCAACCAACAATGGCTCGGTGACATCTGCAAATAAGAAAAAGAGATACAGATTCAATTACCAGAATAAAGTTTATATCAACGAATGTAACCAAATGTAGTCCTTCTGAATCTTAACAAGAGAAATGATTTTGTAAGGAAATACAATCTCATATTTCATTTGCATCTACAACAATGTACAGCACAGACAGTTCGAAACACAGGATACAACAGCCAACACAGTTTGTATAGAGCAGCAACACTACATTTGACTCATCCTCGCCCATTCTGATTGACCAGAAGAAGGATAAGGAGAAATATATATTACATTAACAGACAAAGGAATATAGTAAGTATACATCCATTAGACCTTTATGGCAATGACAAAGAAAAGCTTTGGTATCCAGAGCCCATGAAATAATAAAGGGCTAACAGATAATGAACTTACCATGACGAATAAGCTCAAATCTAGGATGACCGATCCACTTTCTAAGATTGTCCTTTGATCCAGTAAAATAATTATCCACAACAATCACCTGCGAATGAAGGTATTTGACACATATAGTTCGATAGAACAAAATAATCTTAGTGCATGGGTGAAATACTTGTATCAAGTCTGCTAATCATTTCTAAACAAGGAAACAGAGCTTGGATGTGATAAGAAAATCTACCAACCTCATTTTTTTCATTTTCCATCAATTTGTCCACTAAGTGAGAACCAATAAAACCAGCTTCTCCAGTAACCAAAATCCTCATGTTGGACTGTTGTAAACAGTAAAAGATAACAAATGAAATGTAAATGAAGAAAAAAGTTAAAACGTAATCAGACTGATCAATAATGCAATCCTTGATCCATCAAGGACATATAGATCAGAAAAACAATTAGATAAGTAAGATATGGGACAGTATTCACAAGTCTAAGGTGACTATTTAACCATAATAAAGGATCTACAATCCAGGAGCTACCTGTTCAGGAGGGCCAACAAATTGGGATTCATCTGGAAATTATCTTAAGAATGATTTTGAATGAATCTGAATGCATTGCTTTCTAAGAATTTTTTTGTTCTTATAATGCTCTCAATTATCTCTTGGCATTTATTTCGAAAAGACAGAAAATTACACATCAAGAAATAAAGGAACAAGAGGTTATTTTTCGAACACGACCTGCCGACACGTTTATCTAACATTTTCTCATTGAACAGCAAACAGGTAACAGATTCACTACTAAATGAGCATGTTAACAAACACTTAAACAGATTTGATCAACTTGGTACACTGTGAGTGCATATCCAGTGAGATCCATGAAGCCAAGAGAACTCACACCGGCTGTTCACATCTGGTACATTAAATTTTCTCTACTTTGTGAGATGGAATATCTCATGTGCTGCGGGACCATACTACCATGCATTGTCTGCCCCACTCTAAATTACTCAAACCATTTTTCTTAAGCCACAGCCAAAGGTTAAGCTCAATGTAGCTTTTTAACAGGTTGTAATTCACATAGAACAGCAATTACGCAGATGCAGAAAACATCACAATCACTTACAATCAATAAGCACAAAGAAAGAGAAAGCTGCATAAAATGGCAAGGAAAATAAACTGATACCAACTTTTTAATATTAAAGAAAATGCCAAAAAAACCTGAAAAAACTTAGAAAAGCGCAATGGAGATGGCAAAGGTGGTGGCTTCGAGGTTGTTTGTTGTTCACCATTTGATGAATTTGCCGCCATTGCTCAGATCTCGCGTTTTTACTCAAAACCTGACAAAGAAAAGGGCCCGATTGAGAAAAAAAAAAAAAAAACTAAAAGCGCAAATGAAAGATACAATTTTGGTCATGGATTTGAGAAAAAGGATTGATTTTTAGATCAGAGATTGAAGTAAGAGGACCTGATTGAGAATTTGAGACAATAATCAAACAAAACCCTAGTGAGATCGATCTCTTACTTCCACAAATAACCTGGGATTTGAAACACTTACTTATAGCCTAAAAAAAATTCAAAATCGAAACATCTTCCACCAAATAAATTTTTTTTAAAAAAATGTTAAATTGGAGAGCCTTCAAAATTACGAAAAGTGAGAGCTTTTGATGATACTCCTCCATAACAATAATAAAAATACAGATCACACCAAAGAGAATTGAAACCCCAAATATTAAAAAAAAAATTCAAATTTTAATAATTTATAATTATTTATGAATGATAATTAAAATTATATGAAAAATTATTATAGATAAAAGAATAACGGAGTGAACCGAACCCAATAAAAATAGGCCGTTCTTTTACGTGAGTTTTCTCATGTAACTTTCTCTTTTTGAGTGTTTTGCGACTATTGGGCTCATTTTCAAGAATTTCTTCTCATGAATATTCGATCCAATGGGAATGGCATAGTTATTTCAATAAATCTCTTTTAACCTTGATCCTTGAAACCACAAAGCAAAGTGACACGCATTTGCTGTCTGAAACATATAGCGAACAGCGATAGCTTCAAAAGCAGGCTTGTGACAACGGCGAATCTGGGTCGTAGCCATGTTTTTTGTGGTTGACTACTTCTAAATGTCATATCTTCATTGTTTTAGTTCAAAAAACTTCCAATACCTAGTGGCTGTAGTTTAGTGGTAAGAATTCCACGTTGTGGCCGTGGAGACCTGGGCTCGAATCCCAGCAGCCACAGCCGTAAACCTTTTGTTCCAAACTTCTTTTTCTTTTTTAATTACGTCTGCTCATGAGCCCATTCCCATTCTATTGGGTCTTGAATTTTTGATGCTTTGCTTATCGAGGGCTCAAAGTACTTTTGGGTTTGATCAAGCTTTTCTCTCCACAGTCCACGAGTAGGGATGGCAAAAGACAAGTATTTGTTTGTCCCTAATCCGATGATTTTATATTTATAATATTGGAATTCGGTTTAATTCGATAAAATTTTTTATTTTTTATATCTGTATTTAATATTATATAAAATTATATTATATTTAATTTAATTTAAAATTAATAAAATATTATTTTTAAATATAAATATAAAAATAAATAAATATAATTAATTAATTAATTAATTAATTAAAAAATAATTTATATATATCTCGTCGAAATGGATTTGTCTAAAACTTAATTCGATCTTGACATTTTTTACTATCATCCGTCTTGATCTCGACATTTTTTACTATCACCCAACCTGAATCAAACCTAATTAAAAAAAATTATAGAATTGGGTAGGGTGGGACCGATGATAGGTTGGACCGCCGTCTATCCACAAGGCAGGCTTCGGAAAACTTTTGAAGAAAACTTTGTAATATTTTGTAGGTGCAAGTACAAATTCGAAGATGGCTTTTAAAAACTTGTTTTTTCCCCGCATTCTAATATATGCACAGTCCATCTTGAAGCACGATACGTTTTATCTTTGAGTTTTAAACGTTTAGGATTCAATCATAACAACTTTGAGGAATACTAGAAAGTTAATTAACTTCCACAAATCATTTCAAAATTTTTGAATGTTAAACTTATCTTTTTAGCATGCATGTGTATTCCACTTTTTATAGTTAATAATTTCTGACAAGCACATTGAGGGATTTTTTTTTTTCAATGATACTATATATATAAAAGTAAGTTGAAGTGAATCAAGATATTTTAAAGATTAATATATGATTTGATCATGAATTATAATACTTTTAACTATTTGATATTTGTAAAAAAAATTCATATTAAATATCAAAATTTTATTTTCATCAAATATTTTAAATTCAACTAAACGGATAGCATATAACTTATAAAGCCTAAAAACCAAACCATAAAAAGGAACACGTAGCCTTTGAGACCCTTCTAACTATTTCTAATGCAACAATTTTGGGTAAAAATATTGCTAATTGACCTACTTCATCCTTAACATCTCTACGATGCCTTAATGCAGTTATTTGCTTATAACTACTCCTAGGAAATGCTTTAGGACTTGAAAATACTAGATTCTTTTTTGTCTTTCATGGAAAATAAGTAAACAAAATTGAAAAGCTTATGAAAATTTTCACATTCTCTATTGATAAAGGAAATTAATAGCTTTTCAATTGTTACTAGATTTTATACTTACAAAAAATCAACATGCAAACTGATAGGATCTCAATTCAGGTATTTATCAAACAAATAATTTAAAAATTAGATATAGATAAATAAAATAAAATTGTACCTGAAAATCTACATGAATTAACAGCTAACTTTTCGGTCGTTTATTTTATTTTATTTATTTGCTGTTTTAAAAGTTCTTTGTCTTCTATCGCTACCGATGGAAGAAAGATGAGAATGGAAAAGAGAGGGGAAGTGAACCCAGGGCGTGATTATTAGGCCAGCATACAATTAAAGTGACACGTGCTCGGCTATTATATAAAGAAAGATTTGGCAGCACCAAGGAGAGCGGTTATTAACGATCCCATTCTTGTCACGTGCCCAAAAGCTTTGACTCTATTTTTTATTTATTTTCTTATTCAATTCAAAATCATTAAAATTCTTAAAAAAAAACCATTAAATCTTAATCACGTGCCCAATAGTATATTCTTATTTATTTTCTCAACCACCGATTTTGCATCTAAACGTTTTCGTTTCACAGAATAGGTGAATAAAAGACTAAAAATAGAGAAATTAAAATAATATTGTTTTGTAATTTGATCCGAAAGTAGATGGCAAATCCAATAGGATCAATCAAAGCATCTAGGAGAGTCACCGCACCTGACAAATGACCTTTTATGATGAGAGGGACCTCAATAAGAACGCTTGTCAACAAGCACTAACCAAAACACTTTTGCATACAGAAACGTTTGAGAGTTATTACAATTACTCTACCACAAGAAAGGAAAATAAGTAACAAAAAAGGGTAAAGTGTGAGCACTTGAGATGGCATTCGACAGGGATACATCGATGTATCAACCACATCTCCTCACACAATAAGGCATTCCCTGGGTGCACATGCAGAGAAGAAGCCCCATCAGCAGATCATAAATCATAACATTTCTTGTGACCGTCTGATGCAGCGGCTGACCTTCCTCTTGAATTCATCTCTCTTCTCTCTCCATTCCTTCTGCCAATATACACAAAAAAAAAAAAAATGGTCATAATAGAAAAGCGTGGTTTCGATGCTTTGGTCCGGCCATGATAGTAAGATAACAATGTCAGACAACAACTTTAAATTCATTAGTAAAAGGTTCATGTTGGAAATACTATGATAGAGTATTGTTGATCACCATAGAGGTGGTATGGGAGCACAAAGCATAAATGATCGATACTAAAAACAATAAGATTTTACAAGGTAAAGTAACAAGTGCATACTTAATTTAGTTAATGATAGCTAATATGAGTTCAATCCAATAAGCCTTTTAAAGTAAGTTTTGTTACACTAGAGCCCTTAATAGAAGTTTTGTGGACACCACAGTAGTACATGCCATGGAAGTTTGCATCAAACGTTCAATAGGAACATTGCATGCAACTCAGAAATCAATTAGCCATACTGAAGGTAAAAACGCAACTACCAGTATAAGAACCAATAAACCAAAGACTAAAGTTGCACCAAAAAAGGAATATATGAATCAAGACAATCAACAATCACTTACTGCAGCTTCAACATTCGCGGGAGATTCATCATTGGGGCTGGAAAGCATTGATATGATACTCAAAACAATACTTTCAACCTACCACATAGTAAGAATTTACAATTGTTAATGCACCATCATAATGTCGGAAAAAAGGGGGGGGGGGGAACAGTAGTGAGGAGCAGGGTGACCGCATATTTCAAACTAATGTAAACATAGCTTAAAATCTCTGCATCATAAATGGATGGCAAAAAATCTTTTCAACACAAAAGATTTTAACATCACATAATCAAGTTTGAGAGTTGATAATCACAATAAAAAGCCATAAAACTTTGAAAAAATCTTTTGGATCAATAATAAAATTAAATTAATAGGAAATAAGAAGAGAGACTAAACTGTTTGAAACTTTTGACTGTTCATCAACTAAACTAAGCCTTTATCTGAAACTATTTCAGTTCATCTACACGAATTTTTTCTCCATTTCATCCAGTTTACGGCCAGATTTAAGCTATCCATACGACTTGCAATTTACCTCCATGTTTTCTTCCCTTCTTTTTTTTTTTCTTTCAGATTTCATCCACCTTGGACATTTTCTTAATTCCTTCCACTTGTGAATTATTTTTGTGGTCCATACATACACATGATCAATCTATTAAACATCTAACCCATCCTTGTCTCAATTAATTCTTAAGTGATACTACCTCCACCTTTTAAAAGTAGAATCCATCCCTTAAGATGTTTTTTCTTGAGTTATTCACATTTATTCAATGCCAAATTAATTTCACATGTCTGGCTGCCAATCACCTAACAAACCACTACAATCACAATTAGTATTCTACCATCTCATTTAATTTACCCCTCAAGATTAATAGGTATCTTATGGTCATAAAATATTCTGATCACACTGGTGAATTCCATGCAACTCACAGACCCCATGAGAAACATCCCCTTCAATCTTCATTTCAGTGCGAATAATTCATTCACTAGTAGCAAGCAGATTCTTATACAATTTGGTTTCTAATTACAAGTATATCTTTTGTGATTTCCACGTAATATTATAGTTATTCCCCATCTTTGTTTCTGTCTGATAAAGTTAATTACTTAAAAGTAATTGCTTGTTTCCAATCAAGTAGTTAAATGTTGACCAAACTGAAAACTATGGCACTATGAATGTTATTAGAACTTGAACAGGAACAAGCAAAAAGACAATTGAAAAGTAATTGACACTTCATAAACATACTGTATGGACTGGCATCCAGCGCTCACTTGCAAGCTCATAGCCATTTGGATCATCACCTGGAGGATGAAGAATTGATATACAAACGCGCCCATCAGGATAAACTGCAATACACATAAATTTGAAATTAATTCTTGCATTACATAAAGGCATGTAAGAAGCTGAACAGACAAAGGTATACCATTAGGATGCCAAATCTCTGACGTAAATTTCACTGCTGGAGGGCTGTTTGGATAATTAGGTGGAAAGCTCATGATGGCATTGAAAAATCCCCCTTCACTGAAATTACCAATATTTATGTTAAAGAACATTACCAAGTAAAAATCACAAAATTACAAGATATATCCCCAGATGAGAGATTGGTAAACGATTTTTCTCACAGCCACAGCCACTAAGAACAATACCTATAGAACTCAATTCAATGTCAAGATTACTCAAGAACAAGAATAGTAAAATGGAGAATAAGCAACAGGAAGGTAAGACACATAGAAAGAACATAAGCTACTATTGTTGAGAGGCTGGTGCCAATTAAACAAATTCCAAAAGTACAAGAACAACAATCTGTGCTCCTCAGAACCAACAAACCTCCAAATAGAAGCTAAGAAGCTACCATTTATCGTGCTCAATTGAACCAATACCACGAAAACCCTATCTTAATGATGAAAGTTAATAATATATATTTGCAATCCATAGTCATTCCCTGTAAATGCTGAAAACAAACAATTTGAATTCTTATGGCTGTTGTGTAACCGATTCGATAAAACTAACCAAATGGCAGTTGGCAACCAACACCATGACTAGGTAGAACTCAAAATCAAATATTCCAAACCTCACAATCACCTAAAACTCAAACAAGCTAATCCAATTTAGAACCCAGAATTCCTTTCGAATTTAACAGAAGACCCTAAAATCAGCTAAATTAATCTAATTTCAAAGAGGCAAAGTCCTATTAAGCATCAATCATAACCTCAGTTCGTGATCCAATGTCAACAAACAAAACCCAATCAAAGAATCTATAAGAAACAATTAATTTCATTAAAAATATAAACTTTACAAAGAAAAAGCACTTACTATAGAGTATCAGGTGGTCCAATAATTGTAACACTCCATTCAAAGATATTGTTCTCATCAACTAATCCAGCTGAGAACCCATCAACTGGATTCTTACAAAGATCTGCGAAAACGATAAACCAAAAAACGTTTCAAAATTGAACCAAACCCCAAAATTAATATTGGAATCGTTAAAATTGAAATCGATCAAATAAATAAGGTACCTTTGAGCTGCTTTTGAAGGAGGAGGCTGGCTTGAGATGCCATAAGAGGAGCAGAAGGTTCTGGAAAAAGAGAGCTGCAAAAGCCCTGCTACTTGAAGAGAGACAAAAGCTAAGAGAAAATTTAAAGTGGCCACTTTGTTTCGATTTATAGATTGAGAGAATTCGCTGCAGTTGTGCACGGGAGAGCTACGACTATGTACGGTCCGATTTGCTTTTACATGCGTTTTTGAGCGAATCAGTGTTTGCCACGTAAGATTCGGCCCGGGTCGGCGCAAGGGATATGATGCTGGTGTCTTCCTTCGTAATGTTGATCAACCGTTGTATTTCGGCTTCATTTGTGGGTCCCAACGTCGAGAAAAAGGTCAGTTTATAAGCAGTTACTGTGGTAAATCTAAAAACCTTTGTTGAAAAGATAAATAAGCTGTGGCAATTGGGGTGGTTATTTTTTTATACATTGAGTAATGTTTTTACTTTTCCATATTTCTATGATATAAAAGAACGAAGAAAATAATGCGAATGGCAAAAATTTTACAAAAAGTTGTCATGTATCAATTCTTTGGCATTTTATCTTACTACATTGAAAAAGTGATAAAGCAGTGTAATTCTGTATTTGTTAAATATTACTCTCTTCGTTTCAAAATAATTAACCCCTAGTAACTTTTTTTATTAAAATAAGTTTACTTTGACCTTATTGTTGGAAATATAATATTAAATTAAAATTTTAAAAAATTTAAAACTTAAAGTTTACAAATCTTATTTTTAAATTTTTTTAAATTTTTATTCTTTTATTAAAAATAATAATCAAATTTGAGTTAGTTTGATCAAAAAAATCAATCAAAGACTATAATTCTATGATAGAGAAAATAAAATTTTATATTTTATATTTCAATTGAGTAATTTTATTTATTTTCAATTAAATATATAATATATATTAAATAACAATATACATAAACAAATTTATCACACGGGTTTTTATATAAACAATTATTTTAAATGACACATATGATAGTTTTTTTTTTTAATAAAATAATTTATTTTAATTAAAAATTAAATAATTTTAAATTTATTCAAATAAAAAAATTATTCAAATTATAATTGAAAATCAAATCAATTTAGATATATATTTTTTAAAATAAAAATATGATATATGTTTTTTTATTTTGTTAATAAATAATTTTAGTTGTTTATCAAATAATCTTATTTAAAAAATTATTTAATTATCAAAATTTTTCAAACATGTTTAAAAGTTATAAACATTAAGTTTATCCAAATTTTCAACAATATTTTTGTCTTGAGTTAAAAAATTATCTTTTAAAAAAATTTATGTAAAACATTAAAAATTCAAGTAACTTTATGTAAGATTTTGAAAATAAAAAAAAAATCATCTTAAATTTTTAAATAATAAGATCATCAAAACCATTATATATATTTGAACTATAATTATCAAATTTATAATTCAAATAAATGCAAAAAATTTAATATTATTTTTACCACTTATTATATCTATTTTAAATTTTAAAAAATAATTTTAAAATTATCTATTTAATAATAATTACTACTAAATAATTATTCTACAAATTTAAGACTACGAATGTAATGTGTTATACATTTTTTTTTTAATTTTTTCAATAACTTTTTCAATATATATTCTATTACTATTGCAATTTTTTTTTTTTTATAACTTTTTTCAAGATATATTTTATTGTTATTATAGTTTCATTCTTATGAAAAATAATATTTTGTTCAATTTATTTTTCTTTTTTTATATATTTTTAACATTTTTCATATTTTGAATAATAATTTAGTCAATATTACTAAAGTGAAAGTATATTAATATTTATTTTATTATTTAATTTATCATTTAATAATATATATTTTTATTTTTTAAGAAAATCATAATTTATTTTATTTGATATAATCTTACATGTATATAAATATTATTGCAAATAAAAATATCTAAATAAAAGAGATAATTTTTTCTTGCTGTTTTCAAAAAAATTATTTTTTAATTACAACTCAATGTATATAAATTTTATATATTCTATGAGTTTTAAATATTTGAATATAATTTGAAAAAAAACTAATTTGTATATTTATATATATTCATATTAAATAAATAAAATTATTTTGTACATCACACGAATTATAATTTAGTTTAATATGATATTAGAATAAGGTCATATTTTATTATTCTATTTTGTTATTTTTATTTATTATGTTTTCAAAGTTCGCATAAGATAATCTTTTATTTTTACTTATATGTGATGGGATCTATTAAAATGTAATTATTTTATATTTGTTAAATATTGAGTTTTATACCATATTTATATTCAAGTTGAACCAATTGATACTAAAAATATTCAAAATCTTTTTCAGTTTTTGAATGTTTGTGGTCAAATATTTAGTACCTTGAGTGACCAATCGCAAGAAGCAGGTCTCGTTTTTTCTCTATTGGGAAGGTGGCTTTCTGCCAAAGTCCACAGGGATAATACCCTAACTATCCTCTAAATTATTTATAATGTGACACCTAAATTAAAAAAAAATTAAATTGATACTTAAATTTTATTTTTGTTTATTAAGTTATTTTAATCTTTAACGTTTTTAGAATAAATGCTTATATGACAATCAATACTAATGTAAAGGACAAAGGACATGTGATTATTGTATGGCAACAATATAACTATCATTTGTCATATTTTCAAAAATATATATATTATTTTTTAAAAACTTTATATAAATTTTAAATATTTTTATTTTTAAAAATATAATATATAATAATTAAATTATTATCACATCGTAATCATATGTCTTCAACATTTATATTAACTCTCATTTCAATATTTATTCTAATGATATTAAAAATTAAAATAATTTAATAAACGAATATAAAATTTAGATACAAATTTTTAAAAAATTTTATTTAAGTATTCTATTACAAATATATAATAATTTAGGGGCTATTCAGGGTATTAACCCAAGGGCAAAAGTAACCGAAACATTGAGAATTGAGAGTTGGGAATGCCATCATTTTGAAATTTTCATTAAAATATTACGATGAAAAAGCAGATTAAAAGAACAAAGAAATCTCTCGATAGTTGAGTCAAAGATTGGAAAGGATTTAATTGAACCAGACACGATGATCAAAACAGAAGCTCGAGTTACCCGCTACTTGGCTTGGCTCTTGGCCTATGCAAGCTGAACTGATCAAAACTAATAATAATAGAGAGTGCCCAAAGCAAAAGCTCATGATTCAATGAAGCGCAGGCCAGAAAAAATGGAAACACTTCACGTGCAGGCGCTGTTACACGCATGAAAATCAAGGAAGGGAGGAAAAAAAAAAACGCTGTGCCTTGTCAAATGCATGGTGCAGCATTTTCTGTCACGCGTTGCTCACTGTTTCCACTGTCTCCTCAGAGATTCGCGTCGCTCCCAAAAAATAACCAGTGTAGCAAACCCCCCACACTGTGGCATATCATGTGGCCCATCTTGCACATTTTTTACATGATGAGGCTCTTTCAGGAAAGATTTTGCTTTGGTTTTATATACTACTACTAGGCAAGGTAGATGTTAAGATCAAAGCTCGAAGCTTCAAGGCAAAGGAGATTTTAGGGAAGGAAGGAGAGAGAGAGAGAGCGGCGTATGCCAGTTTCTGCAGCCATAATGCTTAGCTCCAGTACCCCAGATTTGAAAAGTAATTCTCATCTTTACTTTTGAATGAAAACCAACAGGTACTCTCTTCTTTTTATGAGAAAAGGAAAGAAAAATGAAAAACAACGTGCCTTTCATTTGAACATACTTCAACAGTTACAGTTTAACACCATTAATTCTTCAATCCCAACTTACAAACACACACCAGATCATGTGACATAACACTAGAAATTAACATAAATGAAGTTCCGAGTCATGTTTATTGTCTTCCTAGTGACAGAAGATGACCTTAAGCTCACGTGGCGAAGCACAGTCGTGCATGAGCGAAGGGCTATCATGGGCATAGGTAAACGTGGCAGGACAAGCATGTTTGAAAAACTCTGAATAACTCGAAGCCCTACACGTTTGAGGACTATTGTAATGATTCCTACAACAAAGCTCGTCCGTGCCAAAGGCTTGGCATCCACTCTTGCAACCTACAACCGGACCGTGTCCCGGCGGCGACCTAAGCTGTAACTGGTTGGGACACGTGGCAAGCAGATTAGCCCTGCACCCAACGACAGGGCAAAGGCCTTTGCCGTCGTGTGGGGTCACAGTCATGGGGATGTTAAAACCGTCCACAAGGCTGACTTCGTAGGAAGAGAGGTCTTTGTGGCCACGGTGGTGGAGGCTAAACTGTGCCAAAGTGACTGGGGTAGCCCCACCAAGGCCATTGCACTCTATGCGGTGGCCACAATCTCCTGTGGCACAGTAGAATTGGCCGTTAGAGTGGGTACAGCCAGTTCGAGCCCAGATACGACCGGACCAGTGGACGGTGGGCGCAGGGAAGGAACGGTGGGTCAGGGTTTGGAGGGCGAAGCCACCTCTTTGAAGGACAGGGTGGCCAGCGTTGGGTTGAATAGCTGGATAAATGGTGAAAGGGCAGTTGTTAACAAGTGTTAAAATGAGATCAGGCTCAGAAGCCTTAGCAAAGCTGCATAAGAGAAAAAGGGTAGCCAAAAAGAACAAAGAAAAATACAAAGGAGAAGCCATTTTTTGAGTAAGTGAAGAGAAGGTACTCTGCGTCTCTGCCTTTTCTGCTTTGGTTCTTATAGCGGTGAAGAACAGTAGGTAATTTTATAGAAAGACTAAAATACCATCACTTTTTTCACATCCAATGTGAAAACGGTTTTGGGTGAGTGTCATAGGCTTTTAACTATTTTATGATTGGTGCCGCCGAGGACTGCAACCTGCAAAAGTGATTAGAAAGCTAGCTTTGTCATGATCTTAATCTCAACGTAAATCAGAAGTTCTGCAGTTTGCTGCAAATGAAATGATTTTGTTCTCTCCTATCTGGGTAGTAGCATTTCTAGCATATTATGCTATAAATATTCTGAATTTCTAATATCGGTATTCTTTCAAGTTATTAACAACAACAGTCACGTGATCCTGTGTTATGAATTTCAATTCAAGCCTCAAATGTCTACTTCTATTGATGATTCAATTAGTTGAAAACCCAAATATGCAGTGATACCATGTATTATATGGATTACTCAGCTTAATTGAGAAAGTTTTTCTAGTCATTTTCTGCCAAAAAGAAGAAGAAAAAAGGAAATCAAAGAATAAGAGAAAAGGTGCTGTAAGAAGAGAAGAAAGCACATAAAACCTGGTTTAATTGTATAAATTAATTAGGATTAAGGATTTAAAGCTATTCACAACTGAGGTAATCATGCTTTATAATTTTAGTTTTAAAACTTTAGATGAGAAAAAAATTAAAAAAGAAACAAACGTAAAATTATGCAAAAATGATGACTATGATTAATAGCTTTAAGTAGTGTGTTCATGATTCGATTTTAATCGAATTAACAATAATTTTAATTGAAATATAATATAATTAAAATATAAAGTAAAAAATACATAAAATGGATCACTAATTTCATAATTTATTAAAGTCTTTAACATAATATTTTAGTATTTAAATATTTTATTTAATTTATTAAAATATGATAAATTCAAAGTTCAAAATATAATTTAATTTAAATATATTTATTATTTGATTAACCAAAAAATTTAACAAATCAAATTAAATTCAGTCAATTAATTTTTTAAATTTATAAATTCAATTTAATTAACGAAAATAAAATCATATAATTCGATTAATTCAAATTTTTATAATTTGATTTGAAATTAATCGAACCGATCAAATGAACACCCCTGACTTTAAGTATTAAGAAAAAGAATAAATATTCAACCAAAAGTGTAATAAATATTAAGGTATAAGGATTAATAGCTTGTTCCGTTGATCCATTGTGTTTTATAAAGTTTTTGTTTTATATCTGCAAAATTGCCTTGTTAGAATCGGTTAGATATCTTTTAAAGCTCTCGAATACATGTTCCATTACTAGAAAGTAGCTTTGTTGGTGGATCACATACTTGCCTGGCCTGGCCCAACAATGATTAATTTAATGGTTAGTTGGGCCTAAAGTCAAAAGAGTGCCATGGGCAAATGGAATTTGGAATATTTTTGTGATTTTGCTGCGTAGTCCATGAGTCTGGCCCGATTTGATTGGATATCGAATAACATTTTTTTTTATTTTAATTCAGTTCAAATCGTTATTTAATATTCTAATATTTAAAATTTTAATATTTTTCAAATTATTTTAAAGTTTATTCAATTAGAAAAACTTTTCAAAAAATTAATAGAAATCTAATCTGATCCAACCTATAAACATTACCTAGGCTCAAAGCTGTAAGCTCTTTATTTATCAATTGATTTTATGTTTTGAGAGGTAAATCATTTTAACCCTGCAATCCAATAATACAAGATCCTAGTGAAGATAATCAACTCTATCACGGATTGCATGAGCCATAAAAATTTTTTGTCCACAAGGCCGAAGCCTAAACAATGAAATTAGTTTAAATTTGCAGTGGGGAACCAAAAAAATATAGAATTGCAAAGTGATTTTGTAGATTATTTTCTAATTAATGAATCCAAATCAGGTGTCCATCACATAGAAAACACAATTTTGACTTTTGATGAATGTTTTCTTCATAATAAATCACATAAATCACGGGAAATTATTGACCAGCTTTCATCACCAAAACTTGACTAAATTTTTATTGTGCGTGTTTCCTGATCTTGTAAACTTTTCAGTTTCTTAGTCATTTCAAAACCTTTTAATTTGAAAATATATAACCGGCGAGAATCTGTCGCCCGAGATGGATTTTGGCTGATAATTAACATATGTTGGGCTTTTATAAGTACCTATTTAAGTTAAAATACTATTTAAAAAAATTACATTTAGTAAATTATTTTCATCAAATTCAAAAAATAATATATTAACTATAATTTTTTTCCCTTAAAAATCACCTGTTAACTAGCATACTATACACTGGTAAGCATTTCCAAAAAGCAAAGCCCACTGCTGGATACAGAGATAGGAAATTTACCAAAAATTGTCAGGTTTCGGCTCGTGCTTATAGAGTTTATTTTTTATTTTTTATTTTTTTTCAATCTAAGTTTTGGATAAGTTGGATTTTTTTTAAAACTGAAATGAAGTCAAAGTCAGGTTTTGGTAAGCCCATCACAATCAAATATATAAAATATATTTTTTATTATTTATTTATTTATATATATTATATTAATAAAATTATTATTTAATATTTTAATTTAAAAGATTCACTTAATTAAAAAATATTTTTATAAATATTATATAAAATTAAAATTATTAAATTAGTTTCGAATCGAATTAAATCACTTAGAGTTTATTATATATGCGGTCGAATTGAATATAAAATATAACGTTTTGGTGTCAGGCTAGAGCCGAGAACAAGAAAAAACCGTACCGACCGACCCGTTACTATCCCCTAAGACATCCAAAAACTTTTTTTACCCATCTTCCAATTTCCATGATAGTCGTATGGAAGTTTTCAATATGGAAGCATCATGACAGAATGCATGCGTCAGTGAGTGCATGAAACTCACCTGCTTGTAGGCAAACATGGGGGCCTGACCAAAGGCATTTAAAGTATAGCAATTCTCAGCCATCGTGCATCTCATGCCGATGTAACTTAATGCTGCTTTTGATAAAAAGTACGATGAAATTTGAAGACAGTTACTTCCTTTCCAACTAGCGACATGAATCAAAGGCTGCTCAGTTTACTTGCTTCGCTAAGACTTCACAACTTTTCAGCGCACACTGGAGGGTGCAAAATTGCACAAATAACGACATACAGCAACTCTGGAGCTGAACATGCATTGGCGGGTCCCGACACCCGTGCCGACAGCAACGCTCAAAGCACTCAAGAAAAAAATAATAATACTAGCATGTACTTGTAAATATATATCATGGATGCAATGATCACTGAGAAATGATAGCATAGAAGAAGTCAATCCACAATAACGAGAAACATAGAAATCTCAATCTTATCAATCCACTATATAATGGCATCGGATTCCCCGGCACCTTTAACAAACATTCCTACATCTATTTTCAAGTTTGGCTATGATTACAGTAAATGTATCAGATAAAAATGCTCCTTCATGCTTGAAAGAGCACCCCCCCAACACACCAAAGCATGCAGCACATGCCACCACCTGCAAAAGATGAGAGGGCAAGTTCTAGTTTATCTTCTACTAGCATTGCTCCTGCTTGCAGCTTCTCAGCTAAAGGGCTCCCAAATTAATGTTCAAGCTATTGAATCAGGCAATCCTCTCTCTCTTTCTTTTGCTTACAGCCGAAAGCATTGCATACAACTACATGACAAACTGCTTTACATATTGTCGTAGGTTCTAATGCATTTACTTTTTTCTACTAGTGCCAACAGTTCACTTCAAACTCAGACCTAGAAGCCCCATGCCAAGCTCACATACTAGAAATGCATTACCTACCTGGGTAAGCACTGAGTAGTCTCTTTTGGTTTAAAAATAGTGTATTTATCTTAGCTAGTATAAAAATCTATTCACTAAAATCTCCTTGCATCTGTAAAATGATGAAAAAACAGGTTGAAATGAAGAAGATTCATAAATCCCCATCTGGACCTAACCCAGTTGGAAATCACCGCCCACCATCAAGGCAATAAGTCAGTGGATGCAACAGTCAGCATAGGAGATAGAATGAGGTAACACGATTTGGGTTGGAGGTCAGATGGGTTCATTTAGGCTTTGTGCTTGTATAAAAATGAATTTTACTTTTAAGATTTATGTCAGATCAAAGCAAGTATTGATGTACTACTGTATGCCCCTATTCTTCATTAAAGTTTTAGATGAGTTAGCTTTGGCTTACACACCTAGAAAAGGCCGGTAGTTTGCTTTGAGATATTATATTTGGTTTTCTTCAGTCAGAAGGTAATTTTATATCCTTGTCACAATGCTCTGCAAAACAATTCTTCTACTCATTGCATGTTAGACTATCCCATGTTCGCAGAGAGAAGCACTTTCTTTCACACATGAAAGGAAATGTGGGCTTGATTTGAACCTTGAACGTGACTAAAGTAAATTTGTCAACAAATGGCTGAAACAATTTAAATAAAGAATTGACAATTTTCATATTTGAGGAAATAAATTATAAACTCAAAATATTTCCCACTTCAGAGGTTCAAACCGGATCAAAGGAAGCAAGGAAGGTGCAACTATTACCACTGCAAGATTCCTACAACTTCACCACAAAATTTTCCCAGGAATAAGGCTTGAAATGATTAACCTGAGAAATGACTGAAATATGAAAAAATATGGGCCTTTTGGAGCATGGACATGGAGCTTTTTAATCAGACAATTTTCTTTTTCATGATTTTGCAATCAACCTTAAAATGAATGAGCCCGCATAAAAATGGCCACTATATTAGAAACAATGCAATTACTTTAGATATACAGGACTTACTGTAAACTACAACAACTCAGTATACAATCCTCTTATACTGCACGCTTCCGCTTAGATCTCTTGCTTCGTCTTGGCCGAGAAATATTAGGAACTTCTTTGCTTGTGCTGGAAGCATATGCTTCTTCGAGAGCCTCATCACCCTGTTGGAAACTTGAAATTAGTTATTGCCTTTGAAGAGAGATGAGGTAAGGTTTAGACTTGCATTAATCCAACAGCTGTAGTTGATACAATGTCAAATGATGAAATATTAGAAAACAACATCACACCTACATATCAACATACCAACCTTCTACCTAAAAGCCTAAAGTTTTATGTTTCTTGACATAGCAAAGCCAAACCTCTCAATACCTGTATAGATAGTTACAATTGAAATATGTAATTCAATTTTACATTTATTCTTCAAGTTTGGAACAAGAGAATGACCAATGCTGTTTTAAAGCTAACTACAGCCATCTAAACAAAATTAATTTATACAAGACAAGTAATGTCTGGTTGCAGACTTGCAGTTAATGTCCCCTCATTTACCAATTAATCCTCCCCATGTTAATAGCATACTCATGTTTGCACACATACTCACAGAAGAAAATGTTTTAATTTTACTACATAGTTCAATCAATGTTGGATTTCGCACCAGTGGGACCCACCTAATAACACCACAAAGTCAAGCTGCCATAAACATGCGGTGGCAGGCTAACTTCAGCTCTGCCTAAAGATGACTAGCTTTCAATGTCATTATTTGTTCCTTCATTGCTGTCCTAGAAGACAATTTTAGAAGATGCACATATTACAGCAAAAAGTAGTACTATGGTCGCTAATGACTTCATACAGTTCAACTTGCAAGGAAGATTAAAACCTTTCAACCCATGGTCCCACAAGAAAACTCTGTTTGACAGCTGTCAATCTAAACATGTAATCAGTGTCTTCTTGAAAGTGATCAAAAAGGTATGGCAAGTTCAAGAAAGTTGTAATACTCGTCCAGGAACAACTGTGCAATGGGATCCATACCCATCACAATCATGTTTCTTTTTTCTCAATAGAAAGAGATTTATATTTTTCCCCTCTCATTTGAATCTATTAGAAACTCCAGACACTTTGAAGGCTCAACCTTGTAATATTCTAAGTAACCTCTAGTCGCTAAAACTAGAAATTTACCTTGACCTTTGTCTTTTCATCCGATTCCTCATCAGAATTAGATGCAGAATCTAGAGTCGGAACCTCTTCTGCTGGCAGAGCCTTGCTTACTTTCTTCTTCTTCTCTTCTTCTTTTAACTGTCTGAACCTGTTAATTTCCATTTATATTTCAGCAAGCTAAATTTGACGCAAAAACAGAAGCATGTACAACTTCTAAGAAACCGGGCACTGACCTATCCCTGGGCCGTGTTGGCTGAGCAGCTGATCTTTTTGCACGTCCTGCGGTAATAATTCCACTTGCACTCTCATCAACAACAGGTTTTGCACCACCTAACTTGCGTAACCACACTTGTTGTGCGGTGCTAAGGACGTTGTTCGTAAACCTGAAAATGGCAAGGTACACGTCAGAAACTGATAGAAGAACTTGTTTTGGACATGCAGACAAACTAGTGTCCCTTATATGTAGCTTAATGATAAGGTATAGTTTTTAACAGCTAGTTTGAGTGTCCCAGCACTTAGCAGAAGGAAAAAAAGTAATGGTGTTCTATTAACCAAGTTAATCTAGAAGATAAGAAAAAGCAACACTACATTTAATTGGAAAGCACGTACACATACAAATTCAAGAATATTATGCAGCACATTTAGAAAACAAATGATTATAAAAGTTAGATGTGGAGGTCTATGGGTTGGTGCTCAAAATTAAACCAGGGGGAATCAAATGCAATGAAGCTGAAGAATATCGTTCTCATGTATGCAAATTTGGTTGCAAATTAAATCCAAAGGACATCAAGTGCAATGAAGCCAAAAAGTTAAGCTAATATATGAAAATTTGAATTGTATACATCCAACCTGAAAAGCCATTATTAACAACAGAGAATACAAGAAAAATCAAGGTTGGAAGTTCTACTATCAGTGACACATACAACATCATCAAGGAAAATAATGATAGCACAAGAATATGAAGTCCTCCAGTCATGCTTCAGAATGATCAATATGACCATATAAAAACCATTATGTGCAGTATAGGTTTGTAAGACATGTAGAAACTAAATTAGAAGCAAAGTGCATTTGTTGAGTCTATTGGTTTCAATAAAACTGCTCAAAGAGACCAACCAATAAATTAATAATCCTGATGGAACAGATAATGCAAAGTAACCGATCATAATTGGAAGAAACTTGAAAACAAGAAGTGTGTTCTTTTGGGCCGGATCACCTGTCTGTCAAAAGAAAATTTGAAAGCTTCAAACTACTTAACAAATTAATATATAAAATAGGAATGAAATGGAAGCAATGAGGCTCATTCTTTTTACCTGGGGAGGCTTCATGAGCTCCATTGAAACATATTGAGAGACAACAAGAAGCACAGGTAACACAAGGTATGCAGCAGTGTCATGCCAACCCAATGGTGGATGGCCATCCTGCATGACATCTCATATGTTAGATGACCATATCAGATATATGAACCCAAGACAGAACATGGTCTCTGTGCCTGATCAACAGAAGCTACATCTGAAATCCTATTCTTAATCTAATCTCAGCTAGGTAAAATACAGTTAAATTATATCTTTACAAAAGTTTAGTAGCTCTTATAATACTTTTAATCCATGGCAACCAAGGTGAAGATGCCTACAAACTATAAAGGTAAATGTAATCTATCAATCTTCACAAATAGTGATCTCCCTTCTTAGAGCTGCTAAGAAATATATCAATGCCAAAAAGGCTAAAATAACAAAACAAGAATCAGTATCTTTAACATCTCCATATATTTTTCAAAAAGAGAGAGAGAGAGAGAGTGAGAGAGAATTGCCACAAATAAGTTTTATAAGATACAACAAAAAAGCAAGGTAACCAAAAATATAGAAACCTACGGAAACAACAAAGAGAATTGTTAAACTTATAATTTTGGGAAGTAAGTTTATTACCACAAATGGAATAAGCCAAGAAATTCCAGACCCACTTTGTCGAGCAGCAATTGTAGTTGGTCCACCCAAAGAAGGGATCCAAAAGAAACCTTCTGTCAACAGTCCCTTTGAGTAAAAAGGTTGCAGCAATCAGCAACGAAAGTTTTCTAACATGTAAAAGAGTTTTCCTGCATCACTCAGGATGCTATGCTACGTCAACCACTTTATTACCTCATTTGCCACATTTGAAAGAGCTTGATACAGGCCTATCCAGACTGGAATGGTGGCTAAAGTAGGGAAGCAACCTGCAGAGAAGAAAATATAAGATATTGATGAGAATCATTCCGTGAATCTAACAGATACATGTCCTCCTGAGAATGAAGGAAATCAAAGAATCGCACAAGAAACCTTTGTGTTATCAATTCATTATTTTTAATAAAATAATACTAACACCAAAGTTCAAGCTCAAGTCAACTGCACACCACCGTCATAAACTCTTTATCACAGGATTTAATAAGCTAAGATACCAATGAAGCAACGAACCAACTTCCAAAAGAAGCTAAATTTGATGGCATATGATAAATAAACAGAACCCCGAGTGATTAATCAAACGGATACCTGCCAAAGGATTAACCCCAGCCTGCCTATACATGCGAGATGTTTCGAGTTGTATTCTTTCCTAATAACACCAAAAGAAAACAATTAAATCAAAACGAACCATTCCAATCAATAAAAAAGAAACTCAAATTCAAACTTCAGCATTACCTGATTGCCAGCATATCTTTGTTGGATAGCTTTAATTTTCGGTTGAAGATTTTGCATAGCTAGTGTTGATTCCACCTAAACATGTAACAACCGTGGTCAACTAACGGTTAACTATGAAGTCAAAAAAGTCAAAACCACAGCAAATTTTAAACACTTTCTTTTTCTGAATTCAAGTTAAACCAAATTCAAACCTGCTGCTTTGTCAAAGGAAATGTAGCGATCTTAACTATAACCGTAAGCAAAATAATCGCAAATCCATACGCGTAGGGCACATGTAACGCCGATAATCCATCTTTCAACACCTGAAAAAACAATAAATAGTTAATTTATTGATTAAGTACTTGATTGATTTCTTCATTATGTGTTTATATGTAGGAGAGAATCTTTACCTTGAGAACGAATTCCATCGAATCGGAGATGAAGCCGAACCAGCCGCCATTTTTTTGCGCGGCAGCGTCGGTAGACCCGGCGGCGGGATCGGCCGCGACAGCAGCGTCGGCGAGAGTGTATAGTAATCTCTCGGCTTTGGTAAAAAGTGCTTGGAAATCGACGGAAGAATCGAAAGAGGGAACCGGAGGGATTCCGTTGTAACTGAGACGGACTCTAGTGGAGGCGAGTCTACGGTTAGGAAGCGTATGAAGGCCACCATGGCGAGAGATTGACGATGATGGAAGAGGAGTGCCGATAAACGGCTGTGATGAAATCAAAATTCTCGCCATGGATTTTGCTTGATATGAGGGTTTTGAAAGAAAGGGAGGAATTGAAGAGAAGATTTTTTCTCAGATAGCCATGAGTGGGAGAAACGGAGATGAGGTTTCTGGCAGAGACAATTTTTTTTGAATTATCCTTATTTTTATGGTTCGTTGAAATGAAAAGAACCACCAAAAGATCCTGGGCGCGCATTTTTCAGCCAATAAGGTTAGACCACGTCAGATTCCACCCATAAAATTGGGCATGGAACAAAATGGAATATACCGTATAGGTTTGAGTGCCTTCTCTAAGGAATTGGACCGGTCTAACACTGAACCGTATAAAATTAAAGCCCAATTGCCTCAAAATGAATTTTCTTTTTCTTTTTTTTTTCTTCTTTTCAAATTAAAATGAAGTTTTTACTAAATTTTAATTAGTTGAATGCTTTAATTTGAAGGCGGTGTTCCCCTATTTATTTACCCACTTTACTTTTATATTAATTTATATTTATATTTTATAACAAAATTCTTTATCGATTTAAATATGATCAAGTTGCATAAATATAAAAGAAATGTTGATTTTATATGGTTTTAATATATGACTTATGAAGGTATAATATATATTTTATAACATTAAAATCTATAAAGGTACTTTAAAGAGTAAATAGCGAGGGTTTTTCTTAAATTTCAGATTGAATATCGTTTTGATTTTAATTTTCAAAACATAACTTGTTGATCTTTAATAGACTAAACTTGTGATGTTTTTATCATTTTATTAATATAATGGTTAATCTTGACATTAAATACGAACTCACCCATGTGTATCATATGTAACATCAAGTTTAAGAATGTCGATAAGTAGGATAAGTAGGGTATAGGACAAAAGAGTATTCTACTTCCTCAAATTTTTATATTATAAATATTTTTGTATTTGTATTTAATTGATATTTTAAATTTATCCTTATTTTGATTATCATTGATATTTAATAGGTATGAATAATTTATATAGTCGTAGTTTTTAAAAATAAAAATTAAAATCAAAATGTATTGTTTTTAGCTTTTTTAAAAAATTTATCTTGCATATTTATATATATTTTTATAAATATATTAATATATTTGTTTAGATAAAAATATACTAATTTTAATTAATCTAAAATAATTATTATTATTATTTAAAAATTTATTTATTATATATATGTAGAAATAGGTATAAGTATATGACAGATGCTATATTATTCGTCTCTATTCCCATACTTAATAAAAACTTTAAAATTATATTCATTTTCATTCTCATTACCATAATTTAATATCCATTATTAAAAGTATGATTCTTCATTAAATATAGGTAAAATCAACATTCTTAATCAAGTTGATAAATACAAATTGTATAATGTGAATTTATGGACTTTTTAAAAATATATTTTATATAGAAAAACAAAAAATAGTTTTAATTTTTTATTTTCTCCTTTAATTGCATAATTTTGGTGCATTATAAAAGTAAAAAAAAAATCTCCCACTTTTCTTTCAATTCTTCATTCTTCGATTTTTTCTCTAACTTCACTTATTTTTTGTTATATTTGTTTAAATGATTAATATAATGAATGATTCTTAAATTTTAATAAAATGTCTAATGTAGTATTTAATTTTAAAAATTTATAATATAATATTTGAATTATAAATTTGTTAATTAATGTATTATTCACTCCAACCGTAATTAATTTTAAATGATGATATGTAATAAACAAATAATACATTTATTAACAGATTTATAATTTAAATCTCACATTAAAAAATTTATAAAATTTAAATATTATTTTAAATTTTTATTATAATTTAAAAATGATTGATAATATTAATTTTTTTAAACTAAGTACATTTATTAATAGATTTATGATTTAAGTATCATATTAAAAATTTTTAAAATTTAAATATCATATTAAATATTTTTTAATAATTTAAAAATTATTTATGATATTAATTTTTTTTAAACTAAGTAACTATTAATTTAAATTTCAGCAAATTAATCCTGTCGCTATCGTCCCTCCATCTTCACCGTATAATCAATCACACTGATTATATTGTAATGCTCTTGTGGCACTCTTGATTATATACCAAATTCGACTTCATTTCACTTATTATTTTCCTTTGAATTATCACCAGATTAATTCATATTTCATGATTTTATCTTGATCTTGGTTGGTAAGTTTTTTCCCAAACTAGTACTCTTTGAAACTTTATTTTCCTGATGAAGTACTTTCAAACTTAATGCCTAAGCAAAGGTAGTCTAACTTTCCGAACTCCACATCAACATACTTTTTTCATGTCAATATCTCATATTAATTAAATTAAAATAAATCTTTATTCTACTTACATACAACATTCACATTTTTACCTTAGCCAAAATAATCTCTATCTCATTCTATTTGTTTAATCCAAAATCAATCTCAAAATCCGAATGTCTCTATCCTATTTTATTTTTCATACTCTAAAATTAATAAGTATAGCTTGAACGACAGTAAAATAAAAACCCATCAAACTCGGAATAGCAGTAAAAATAAAATCATCAAATTTAGATTCCATTTGCCTTAAAAAAAAAAAACTCATTAATTTGGATAATATAACATCTTCTTTTCAATTCTTTAATCTTTCATCTCTTCCTAATTTGAAGTTGTGGATTTTAAAATCCTACAAAAATGAATTGTCATTTTGAAATCATTTTCTCCTTACGCATAAGTTTCCTTTTAGATGAGAAACAAACAAAGTGAACAATACCATAATGGATTCTTATTGCAACCAAACACATCTTTAGCACGGGAATCAAATACATAATCACACGTTTTTTTTTTTTAAGCGATGAACTGATTGTTATGTTTTGTTCTAATTTTAAATTACAATAGATTTTAAAAAATTTTTTGGATAAACAATTGTTATAAAAAAATTCTCTAATAAATGCAAATCAAAGCTTTTTTTTTTTTTTTAAATTTTCGAAATAATATATTTTTGTCTCATAATTGAGATTTAAATCAAAAGTATTGATTTTAGAGAATGGTTTAAAAAAAAAAATGAATGTATGTGTTTCATACGTACAAGAGAGAAAAAGAAGATAAATAGAAAAGCAGATGATGAGGTGGAATAAAATGTTGACGTGTAGGTTAGTTGACTCAAAATATTTGTATTTTAAAATAAAATTTAATAATATTCTTATTAAAGAAATAAAATTAAAAAATAATTTGGTTTGGGAAAAAGCTCCTCGGTTGGTATCAACCGGTCCGAAACCTTAAATCATATGATACTTGAAAATGACTACCACAGAATTGTAACATGATTGAGCACTAAAAAATATTTTGGAATTGATGATTGAGCATCAATCGTTGGGCCAATTTAGACTCCAACCTGACTCATTGATTCATGAATCACAAAATGTTGACCTGAAATCATTGCTCTTTGTCTTGATCCAATTTACGTAGAATATAATTTGTATCATTATTTTTTTATAATTATTTGTATTTTTCTTATGACATATAATTATTAATTTAATTATAATTTTGTAAATAAATAAATTAATTTATTTCAAATTTAAATTTATTTAATAATTATACATTACATAAAAAATACAAAAATTTAAAACAAAATTGACGAGACAAATAGTAGAACTTCCTAAATCCCAATCATCTTTGTCTCTACATATCAAACAAAGTAATTGCAAGTATAATTAACAAAATTCAAGATCAAATAAATAAATTAGATTAAAATTTTAAGTGAAGTATATAAAGTTTTTTATTAAAAAAATTCAAATAAAAATATTTTTAAAATCAAAATTTATAAATTAATAGAGTTTGCTGGGAATAGTAATAGCATGTAAAAAAAAATTTAACAAATACAGTTTATAATAAAAAATTTTATTGAAACCTATCTAACAGTGAAATTTTTATTAAAATTTTTAATAAAAATAACAATTTAAAAGTATAAATTTTTTTCAAAATTTTACTTGATGTTTTGGTTAACTTTATTTAGGGAAAATTTTTATTTTATTTTTTCCACGATATCAACCCATAAATTTCATTATTATCCATTATTCTATATCTCAAGAAAAGAAATTGTACTGGATACGATTACGAAGGCAAAAGCAAAAAGAAAAGCACCTGAAGTGGAAAACCAATCAGAGGCTCTGGCCAGCAGTGAAGGGTTTCCGTTTCGAAATGGAAAGCTCTGAACTCCCTAGACAAGCTTGACACCTCAAATCGAAAGCTCTTGAAAAAAAGTATTCTTTAGCTGTCTGGAATTCTTGATCCAACGGCTGAAAATACCCGATCAGAACTTTACAGAAATCAAACTTTGTTTATAAACCACCACTTTTTCTCCTTCTCTATCATCGTCAAATCGTATCAGTTAAATCGAAGTCAAATCTCTACAAAGTTTCTCTCTCAAACTATTAAAGTATATAAGCTTTTTCCACAGTTACTTTTTATTTTGTTTTGAGTTGCTATGGCCGGCAAAGCCGAAGGTCCGGCGATTGGAATCGATCTCGGGACGACTTACTCGTGCGTTGGTGTTTGGCAACATGATCGCGTGGAGATCATAGCCAATGATCAGGGGAACAGAACGACGCCATCTTAAGTGGCTTTTACTGATACCGAGCGTTTGATTGGCGATGCGGTTAAGAATCAGGTTGCCATGAATCCTATCAACACTGTTTTCGGTAAGCCATCAGCACTTTTTAGACCATTAATTAATTCTTCAAATATAGTTTAATTTTTCTCGTTTACTGCATGTTTAGTTTTAGAATGAATTTTCGTGTCAAAGGGTAAGTCTCTGTTCACTCTCTGCATTAGATCTGATAATAGGCTGGATTTTTAGGTTTTTTCTTTCCGATTTGGCCATTTTTTGTTCAATGCTAGATTTATGAAATTTAATTTTGTTAATAAAGAAAATATAAATGTGATTTTACGCTTATTTTTTACTTGCTCAATCCACAAAAGCTTTTAAAAAGAAATTGAATTTTCTAATTTTTAAATTTTAATGTTTTAATTGTTTTATTTGGCGGGGAATTTTGTGCTTATATTTGATTGTTGTTGCTGCATCATTTTCCAGATGCTAAGCGTCTGATTGGTAGAAGATTCAGCGACTCTTCGGTCCAGAGCGACATGAAGCCGTGGCCATTCAAGGTCATTCCTGGGCCTGGAGACAAGCCCATGATTGTCGTCACCTACAAAGGAGAAGAGAAGCAATTT